ATTCTCAGAACAAATTCTCAGAACAAATTGGAGGAAATGACGGAGCGCCGTGTTTTCTAGTTTCCAATTCCAATGGGCAGTGGTTTTGACAGCACATCGCTCCTCGCTCACGTCCAATACCTTGGGGCATAAATTTTCTCCGTTTCTCCTTTTGAGTCCACAAATACATATTGTTTCTATGTTACGGGATATTCCAAATTTATCGTCGAGTCCATAGCAAATGCGCAGCTCGGGACAAAAAAATAAAGCCCTCATGGATGATATGCCACGTAAAAGGGCATCAACCCTAAACACCGTGAGGCAAGGTGTTTAGGGTTGATGCCTCACAAATGGCTTGTCATCCGAGTAGGTTTTAGTTTTGCCACTGGCCTCTATAACTGAAACCATGTAGACTTAGTATTTTTCCTTCTATACGTTTGGTCACGAAAAATGGAAAATTTCAATAAAAACTGCCCGCGGGAATTGAGCGCGAGCGCGAAGGGAGTCGCTGTCAAAGCCACTGCCGAAAGGAATCAAAAACGCGCAAACACAGCGGTCCGTCATTTCCTCAACAAATTGCGATAACTTCTGCGGCGCGCTTTGTCCGATATGAAATGATCACCTCAACGAAGCATTCACTGGTATGAGATTGCTAAGAAATCGTAACATGAAAAGCCACCCTTTTTTGGGGGGGTATGAGACATGATAGTCCTTACATAATATCTCAGAACGTATTATGCAGAGAGCAATTCTGCTGGAGGTTAAAACTCATACCGTAATACCCCGGATAGTAGCGCATATGCGCTTATAATAAATTATTATTTTTTAAGGGGGGCGCTTGTAATTGAGTAACGGCCATAAGCGCCGGCGCTTTTATAAAGGCAAAAATGAATTTCTCTGTAAAGGATATCATTCTGAAGCCGTGAAGAAGGCGAGTACAGCACTGTACCATGCACGCGGGGTCGTGCATGGAATGACGTCGAAACTTGCCGCGGTTCGATTTCCCACCGCACAAAACCCGTCCCGGTGCAACGCACCTGCCAGCGCTGATGCAAAACCTGCCGTGCGGCCCAATCATGTTGGCATGCGCTGCCAGGCAGGAGCATCTCGGCATAACCATCCAGAACGTGATGGAATCTGCCGTGTCAGCGCAGCATGGATGGTGCCCCCAACCCTCCTCTGCGGGTTGGGGCAGGGGTGTACTCGTCTCTCATCGACGAGGACCCCGAGCCGCAAACCAGAAGGGGTCCCCTTCAATCTCCCATTTCAACACCCAGGGTTGCAGTTTTTTATTCAGTCTTCATTTTCTCGCCCGCCTGGCTGCGGAAGCCATGGCGGAATTCACAGGCACTCATTTTCTCTTCAAGAAAAAACCTTCTAGTAGGCCCGCGTACCGTGTTACATCCGACGGGTGGTATAGCCGCATACCTCCAGACCCTCCAGAGCCACCACAGCCTCCTGCGCCGCCTGCTCCTCCGGCTCCTCCAGTGCCTCCGACTCCCCCTGCTCCTCCTGTTCCTCCTGTTCCTCCGTGTCCGGTGGCCCCTCACATCGACAACCACCCCGTGCTCACGCTCCTGCTCCCATCGGCGTTCGACGAGTATCTGTCGGAACCGGATTATGACAAGGGCCCCGATGTTGACGTACCCGCTCCAGCGCCAGCACCACGTTGGGGCCAGCCAGAAGATTTCACGTGGGATGAATCTGCAGTCGGCGCTGATGACGACGTACAAGACGCCGAGGACGGTTGGCGCACTGAGGCCGACACCGAGGCCGCTACTGAGGCCGGCACTGCTGAGGATGTGTTTCCCGAGGGTGCGCCGGGCGGTGACGACGACGACGGCGTCGAATACTGGTCACGCGATGGCCTCCCCGAGAAACTCCCGATACCAACTTATTCTCCACGTAATCGTAAGCGACCTCACCCTTCTTCACAGAACCGTGATTCTCGCCCCCCCTCTCCCAGGCACAAGCCCAACGACCACAAGCGTCAGGCCTATACTGCCGCCGAGAAGTTGAAGTGGGTCGCGCAGCTGGATTTGGCGGTGTCGGTGCGCGCTCTGGCTCGCGAGAGTGGCATCCACCGCAAGTGCCTCGCCAACTGGAAGCGTGCTGCTGATTTCCTCAAGGAAGCCCACTCTGCCAGGTGCCGCATGCACGGTCGCGGCAGGGCGTCGTGGTACCGCCCGATGGAGATTAAGGTGTATGAGCGACTGCTCGACTGGCGACGCAAGGGAACCGCGGTGTCCGTCGGCCGCCTGCAGGAGTGGTCCCTGGAGTTCATGAAGATTCTCTACCCCCTCGTGAAGTGGAAAGGGAGCCAACGGTGGTCGGACCGGTTCCGTCGGCGGTGGAATCTCAGCGTGCGAATGAAGACGAAGGTCGCCCAGAAAACCGCCGCCCGTAAGAATCATTTTTATTCTCTATGCCATGTGTATGCACTTGTTACTCACTAACCGTAACTGTGCTCAACCGCAGATGTCGCGGAGCAATGCAAGAACTTCTGGCAATTCGTCCGTGACAAGCGTCGGGAGCGCGGCATCGAGACGACGTGGATTATCAACGCCGACCAGACGCCGCTGTGGCTGGAGATGCCCGCCACCACTACCGCCGATCAAACCGGTGTTCGGTCGGTGCCCATCAGGAGCGCAGGGTACCAGAAGGAGCGCGTGGCCGTGATGTTGGCGTGCACGGCGGACGGGATGAAGCTGAGGCCGTGGGTTTTTTTCAAGCGGAAGACCGTGCCGAAAGGGGTGTTCCCGCCGCCGCCGGGTGAGTCAGGATTCTTGTTTGTTTGCTTTACACCGGTCTTTGTTTTTAAAGAGACTTACAGAAGCTTGTTTGTTATGCAGATGTGGTCGTGTCGTGTCACGAGAACGGCTGGATGGACGCCAACGGCGTCATACAATGGCTTGAGGAGTGCGTCAAGCCATTTCTAAAGCCTGGGTTCGGGAGGCATGCGCGGAGCTCGATGGTCGTACTGGACTCGTACCGCGGTCACCTCACTGATGCCGTTAAGGAGAGGTTTCGCGAGCTCAACTGCGTGCCGGCGATCATCCCGTCTGGCTGCACGGCGGAGGTACAGCCCCTCGACGTCTCCATCAACAAGAGCTTTAAGGCGAGCGTTCGCCAGCAGTATCAGAAGTGGTTTCAGGAAGAAGGCCAAGAACAGCTAACCAAAGCAGGTACGGTAGCCACGCGAGTCCCTAGACTACCGTAGAAGATTTTCCCCCCTTTTGTTGCGCTAACTACCGTCTCATTTCATGTGATTCTGTTGGTACAGGGAACTTGAAGAAGCCACCCCCAGAGGTGGTCGTGAGGTGGATCTCACGGGCTTGGAAAGCAGTGCCCGCCGACCTCATCAAGCGCGCCTTCCTCACCTGTGGCATCAGCAACGCGCTTGACGGCAGTGAGGACGGCCTCGCCATGGCGCACAGGCGGAGCCAGCTGACCGCGGAGGTGGATGTCGATGACTCCATCATCGCCGATGGCTTCTTTGGCAACAACTGCCAGGAGCCAGAATCCGACGAGGAGGAGTAGATTTTCTAGGTAGAGATGCTAAACTTTGCAATATGTAGCTAGATAAAAATGTCAGTGATGATGTTGTAGGTGTAAAGTTAGCATGCTCATGTTTAGTGTTAATTAGAGATGTTTTTTTTGTAATGAGTTCTCCACAACGTGAAAAGGTGCGCTTATAATAAGTACACCCACTAGAGGGGGGGCGCTTATAATCGACTTCCGGCCATAAGCGCCATGCTCCGGATAGAAGCGCCGGCGCCCTTAATCGGACGGCGCCTGTATCCGGGGCCATACGGTAACATAACACTTGATTTGTTGCATATTAATGATAGCAAAGGCCAAATTCTACTAGCTCTCAATTATGGGTGCAACAAATATGACACCTTATGATAACAGAGGTCTCCTAACATCACTCTCAGGTACTATGTTAATCGTTGTGGGAGTTTTGGCGCACGAATTTGCACAGCAAGGTGCAGATTTCATGCAGTGAATGGCAAAGTAAACGGGCAGTGCTGTGAAAACAAAGGCGAGCGAGAGCAGCGACGGGACGAGCTGCGTGATGAGAGATGAGATGACAAGGTACCTGTGGGTGAGTAGTGGGGGTAGGAACCAAGGAGGGGAGGGATATGCAGTGGTGGAGTGAGGGTCTAAAGAAGCACTTGAGCATATTGGTGAAGAGATGAGATGACAAGGTACCTGTGGGGGAGTTGTAGAGAAATGAGAGGAGACATTTGTAAGGATGGAGTGAGTGAGGGGCTAAAGAAGCACTCGGGCATGTCAGCTGCGTAACGAGAGATGAGATGACAAGGTACCTGTGGGTGAGGGAAGAGAAAGAAAAGGAGCGATTTGCAGGGATGGAGGGAGTGAGGGGCTAAAGAAGCACTTGGGCACATCGGCTGATTGACAAGAGGCTACATGACACGGTACCTGTGGGTGAGTTGGGAAGAGTGAGGGAAGTGTATGGGTGGAGTGAGTGAGGGGTTACGGGGGGCACAGAGCCGCATCATCTGTGTGACAAGAGAAAATATGACAACAGTGGGCCTGTGGGACAAGTAAGGAGAGTAATGACATGGGACGGGATGAGATGACAATGATGCGGGTGTTCTTACGTGGATAGAACAATGACGATGAAGCCTGGAAGCGGGTGGAGGCTCGCTTTGTATGGGCGGGGCAGGTCGGGAAGGTCAGCAGGGAGAACTGAGAAAGGTTGATAAGCAGGTGTGGGCTTGCGTGGATACAAACGACCACAGTGACTCCCGAAAGCGGGTAGAGGCTGGCCTTGTAGGTGCGCAGCATGTCAGGAAGGCCCGGAAGGCAGTCAAGGATGCTTGATAGGTAGGAACGGCTAGAGGGAATAACAGCAGGCGAGGATGTTTCTTACGTGGATAACATGACCACGGTGACGCCCGGAAGCGGGTAGAGGCTGGCCTTGTAGGGGCGGGGCGGGTTTACGTGTTCTAGGAGGCAAAGAGGAAGGAAGGAAGGTGGGAGGGCGAACGTACGTGGATACAACGACCACAATGACTCCCGGAAGCGGGTAGAGGCTGGCCTTGTAGGGGCGGGGCAGGTCAGGAAGGTCCCAGCGCAGCTTGATGAGTGACGCTCCGACAAGGCCGTAGAACATCCATGCAGCAATGCCGAAATAGTCAATAAGCTAATAATGGGGACAAGGGGTTGAAAAAGCAGGTGAAGGAAACAGAGGAGACGGTGATGTTCCCATCGCAGCTTGATGAGTGACGTCCCCACGAGACCGTAGAACATCCGTGCAGCAATGCCAAAGTAGTCGATAAGCTGAGCAATGAGACATTTCGAGAGAAGAGAAACACGGGGAAAGGAGCCTGGGGAGTGAAGGTGTGACGAAAAAGAAAACGGAATTCTGGAAGCACAGTGCAACGGCACTAGAGTATTAGAGGAGCTATGGAATACACTAAGATTGAGAGGGCGTGGAATCAGGAGGGCAAGGGCAAAAAGAGAACTGGAGCTTTGAGAACCAAAATCCACACGGCCAGCAGCACTCTAAGCACATCGAACATTATGCAAGGCCATGTATACACCTGTTTCGTACACAAAGAATGCATTTATTTCTTCATTTATGTTGTTTTGTCTTAGAACGTGTGTATTTTCTATGACCTGTACCTTCTCAAGGTGGTTTGCCGCCACAAACACAACAACCGCAATCCATCCGCCCTGCAGTTTGCAATGGAAATCGCAGGAAACACGAGGGAAGAAGGGTTTCAATGAACAAAATGTTCCATAGGGGATTCGAGAGATGAGAGATCAGCCATTTGTGAAGAGTGACTGCAAGCTACACTGATGTGAAGCATAGGGCGAAAGAGCATGTTCACAGTGGCGAGGAGTGAAGCACAGGGAGCGCCTCCGAGGGTGATGGCGCCGAGGATCGAAGTGACGGAGTGAAGCGGAGTGAAGTTGCATAGATATGCAAGAGCAAAGGGCTTACAGTGGCAAGGAGAGAAGCATAGGGAGCTCCTACAGTGGTGACCGCACTGAGGAACGAAGTGGCGGAGTGAAGCGGGGTGAAGTTGCATAGAGATGCAGGAGCAAAGGGCTTACAGTGGCAAGGAGAGAAGCATAGGGAGCTCCTCCAGTGGTGACCGCACTGAGGAACGAGAACAGTTGACCGTCCCTTGCCTTGGCGTACTGTGTATGGCGTGAGTGAAGCAAAACAAGATAGGGCTAGGAAACATGAAGCAGGATAGGCATACACAGCAAAGTCTCGCTTGCAGCACCCAGCACGTTGAGAGCCACGCAGAAGAAGCAAGGCATACCATGAGTCAAGTACTGAATTCAGTTCATTTGTGGTACACTTGCAAGGCATACCATGAGTCAAGTACTGAATTCAGTTCATTTGTGGTACACTTGCAAGGCATACCATGAGTCAAGTACTGAATTCAGTTCATTTGTGGTACACTTGCAAGGCATACCATGACAGTATGTCTGACTTACAAAGAAGCGTGCGTGGCACAGGAGAGTCGCGTTGGCTGCACCGAGCACGTTGAGAGCCACAAGAAAGGCAATGAAGCGGCCAGAGTGAGGGCCGAACACCGCCTCCACTGCTTCTACTGCCACCACTTCCGACTTGCCCACAGCTGAGGTGAGTGGGGTGGGTGGAATCAAAGGGGGAGAGCGTACGTATTAGAGGGCGATGAATTGGCTGGAGGGAGGGCCGAACACCACCTTGACTGCCTCTACTGCCACCACTTCCGACTTGCCCACGGCTGAGGTGAGTGAGGTGGGTGGAATCAAAGGGGGAGAGCGCACGTATTAGAGGGCGATGAATTGGCTGGAGGGAGGGACGAACACCGCCTTGACTGCCTCTACTGCCACCACTTCCGACTTGCCCACGGCTGAGGTGAGTGGGGTGGGTGTAATCAAAAGGGGAGAGCGCACGTATTAGAGGGCGATGAATTGGCTGGAGGGAGGGACGAACACCGCCTTGACTGCCTCTACTGCCACCACTTCCGACTTGCCCACGGCTGGGATTGGAAGGGGTAGGTAGGGGGAGTAAGGTGGGGAAAAAGGCATGGTGTTGCCGGCGATGAAGTGGCCGGAGTGGGGACCGAACACTGCATCTACCACCTCTACTGCCACCACTTCTGACTTGCCCATGGCTGACGTTGGAAGGGGTAGGGGTGGGTGGATAAGGAGGGATAGGGAGGGATCATTTTGAAAAGGATGAATTGACCTGAGGGGGACCCAAATACTGCCCCTACCGCTTCTACTGCCACGACCTCTGACTTGCCCACGGCTGAGGTGAGAGCAGCGGGGAGGGGAGTAGAGGGAGGAACCGGATGAAGGGGATGAATCAGGCGGAGAGAGGTGATGAAATGACCAGAGAGCCGCACGCTGCCTTGACTGCTTTCACCGCCACCACTACAGAGTTGGCCATGGCTGAGATGAGTATGGGTGGGTTGGGGAGGGGAGGGGAGGGGAGAAGAGGAAGAGGATGAAGGGAGTGAGAGCCGCACGCTGCCTTGACTGCTTTCACCGCCACCACTTCCGATTTGGCCACGGCTGAGGTTGGAAGGGGTAGGGGGAATAAGGGGGGGGGAAGGGCATGGTGCTTCAGTCGATGAAGCGGCCAGAAGAGTTGAAGGCACGGTGTAAGGCACAGTGGAATAACAGTGGAATAACAGTGGAATAACAGTGGAATAAGAGTGGAATAACAGTGGAATAACAGTGGAATAACAGTGGAATAACAGTGGAATAACAGTGGAATAACAGTGGAATAACAGTGGAATAACAGTGGAATAACAGTGGAATAACAGTGGAATAACAGTGGAATAACAGTGGAATAACAGTGGAATAACAGTGGAATAACAGTGGAATAACAGTGGAATAACAGTGGAATAACAGTGGAATAACAGTGGAATAACAGTGGAATAACAGTGGAATAACAGTGGAATAACAGTGGAATAACAGTGGAATAACAGTGGAATAACAGTGGAATAACAGGAACAATGTGGTTTTTTAGCGCGTGCACGGCAGGAGTTGGAATCATGGTACTGTGTGATGCTAGTGGTAAGCGATGTTAGGTTATGGTGATGCTAGTGATACTGTGTGACTTTTGAGTCGACTCAAAAGTCACCTTGTTAATGATATTGTGTACTCAGCCTGGATAATCCCAACCCAACCCCTAATGAGTCTCCTAGCCTACCTGCCAGGGGGAGAATGCAGAAGTAGGCGGAGTTGACTGCTAGCTGATGACGCGGTTCAATGCGGTCGGTAGCGGTGCCATGCGGTTCCGCGCGGTTTTACGTAGGGCCACGCGAGGACACATGGAATGCAATCAAGGGGAGGCAGGAAGGAAGAGCGAATGCATAGATCTAAGCATAGTAATGGAAAGGGGGAGCTTGGTTGTTATGAGTCGTGTTTTGAGCCGACTCAAAATACGACTCATTACACTCAGCAAGGGGAGGCAGGAAGGAAGAGCGAATGCATAGATCCAAGCATAGTAATGGAAAGGGGTAGGTTGGTTGTTATGAGTCGTGTTTTGAGCCGACTCAAAACACGACTCATTACACGCAGCAAGGGGAGGCAGGAAGGAAGATCGAATGCATAGATCTGAGCATAGAAATGGAAAGGGGGAGGTTGGTTGGTTTTCCGGTTGCAAAGCCCGCACGTACATACACAACCCAACGTAAACTGCTCGGTGCATTAGTAAGCAAGTGTACTCTGCGCATTAATACATGAAAGGGCCACTCACACAGATGCCGACAGCAGTGAGCATGCCTATGGATAGAGAGCGTGGGAGGTCCTTCTTTGGGTTCTTGAGCTCCTCTGATAGATAGCCCAGGCAGTTCCTGATGATAGAATGAGGAGTGGATGGAGGTTGGATGCAGTTGAGATGGGCGAAATTAGGGATCTCTCTTTGGGTTCTTGAGCTCCTCTGATAGAAAGCCCAGGCAGTTCCTGCCAGGTCAAGGGACAAATTGCAGGTCAAGAATATGAGGACCGGATGAAGGTTGAATGCGGTTGAGATGGTCGAAATGAGTGGATTTCCTTTGGGTTCTTGTAGGGGCGTTGGAGGGGGGGAAATGTAACGTGTGCAGCGCTACTAGCTCACTAAATCTCCTTATCCTCGTTACAAGCAGACTCTCCTTATCCTCTTTACGGGCGAACTCACCAGCCGTCAAAGGCCCACTCAGCAGCCACCAAGCCAGCTCCAGCCCGGCTCCAGTTGTATCCGGAGAGCAGTGGGAGCGGCTGCGAGAAGAAAAGTTTGTAGCGGCACCAGCTCACTTGCAAGCTACCACTCACCCACCAGCCGTCAAAGGCCCACTCAGCAGCCACCAAGCCAGCCCCGGCCCAGCTCCAGTTGTATCTGGCAAGCACGCAACCCACTCACTCTCCTTATCCTTGTTACTTGCAGACTCTCATTATCCTCGTTATAAGACCACTCACTCACCAGCCGTCAAAAGCCCAGACGGCAGCCACGAGGCCGGCCCCGGCCCGACTCCAGTTGTAGCCGGAGAGGGGTGGGGGCGGCTGGGAGAAGTTTGTAGTGGCTACAGACGTGCCATAGCTGTAAGGAAGGCAACCCACTCACTCTCTTTATCCTCGTTATAGGACCACTCACCAGCCGTCAAAGGCCCGCACAGCGGCCACCAGGCCGGCTCCAGCCCGGCTCCAAGTTGTAGCCGGAGATGGGTGGGAGCGGCTGGGAGAAGTTTGTAGCGGCTACAGATGTGCCGTAGCTGGCAGGAAGGCAGGAAGGCTATTATCCTCGTTGTAAGACCACTCACTCACCAGCCGTCAAAGGCCCAGACAGCGGCCACGAGGCCGGCCCCGGCCCGGCTCCAGTTGTAGCCGGAGAGAGGTGGGAGCGGCTGGGAGAAGTTTGTAGCGGCTACAGACGTGCCGTGGAGGTAGATGAAGATGGGCGCGCAGGCTACAACCGCTGCTATTAGGAGTGCCTTGGTGACTGTGAGGATATTTTGCACCAACGCTCCTGCTTTGACGCCTGCAATGCAAGAGGAGGAGAACATGGGAAATGAAAGGGAGGAGAAGGGGGAGAAGTCTGTAGCGGCTACCGCTGTGCCGTGGAGGGAGATGAAGATGGGCGCGCAGGCTACAACCGCTGCTATTAGGACCGCCTTGGTGACTGTGAGGATGTTCTGCACCAACGCTCCTGCCTTCACTCCTGCAATGCAAGAGGAGAACGTGGGAATTGAAGGGGAGGAGGAGGGGAGCAAGTTTGTAGCGGCTACAGCCGTGCCGTGGAGGGAGATGAAGATGGGCGCACAGGCCACCACTGCTGCTATGAGTAGCGCCTTGGTGACTGTCAGTATGTTCTGCACCAACGCGCCTGCCTTCACTCCTGTGGTGTTAGTTTGGGGGTGAAAAGGTAGGAGAAAGAGAGGAGGACCATATTAATGAAGGGCCATTCGGAGAAGGGTGGAATGATGATCGCGCAGGCCACAACCGCTGCTATTAGGAGTGCCTTGGTGACTGTGAGAATGTTTTCCACCAACGCCCCAGCCTTCACTCCTGCAGTGGTGTATGTGGGGGGGGTCGAAGGAGGGGAAGGTGGAGGGTGATGAAGATGGGCGCACAGGCCACTACTGCTGCTATGAGGAGCGCCTTGGTGACTGTGAGGATATTCGGCGCCAACTGCCTGGCTTTCACGCGGACGGGCGCCAACTGCATAGGGTAGGCGTGCGGGGAGGAAAGGAGTGATGCAGGGCGATGGGGATGGGTGCACAGGCCACTACTGCTGCTATTAGGAGGGCGTGCCTTCACTCCTGTAAATGTTTGGGGGAGGAAAGAGTGGAGGAGGGCGATGGGGATGGGTGCACAGGCTGCAACTGAAATGCTGATGAGAGGGCAGCTGAGGGAACAGATGAGAGGAGATGAGAGGAGATGAGAGGAGGCACAAGAAGAGGCGGGTGAAAGGTGGACGAGGGGGCACCAGTAGAGGGCATACCAGAACAGATGTTGGGTGTGAGGAGAGTGAAGGAACAGCCGATGATGATGATGACAGGGCGACGAGGATTGTACGCCAGCAGATAGCGAGGGGAGCGGGTGAGAGAGGGGTTGACTAGGGTGCATACCGGCACAGTTGATGGCAGTTAGGAGCAGAGTGAAGGAGCAGCCGATGATGGGGAGAGGATGAGAGGATAAGAGGGAGGGTGAGAGGACAGTAAAGCACGCACCAGCGCAGTTGATGGCAGTTAGGAGCAGAGTGAAGGAGCAGCCGATGATTCTCACTCCCATCTCCATCTGCTCCTCACTGGCGCCCTGCATGCCTGGTAGCTGGGGAAAAAGGGGAAAGGGAGAGAAGAGAGAGGAGTTGGAGGGGGAAATTGGAGGAGAGAGAGGAGTTGGAAGGGGAAATTGGAGGAGAGAGAGGAGTTGGAGGACGGGGAGAAGGATGAAGGAGGTGACTATTATGATGTGACTATACGGATGACTAAAAGAATGTGATCAAAAGGACGTGACTGAAAGAATGAGACTAATATAGGCATGTGACTAAACGGATGTGAGTGAAAAGGGAGCTCACGAGAGCAATGGTGTATCGGGCGAATGTGACGATAAGGATGGCGATGCCGCCGCCAGTAGAGACAAAGAAGAACATCCACATGAAGACAAACGAGAGCAGATCTCCGAACGCCAGCTGGATATACTCCCCGTCGCCGCCCGCATGCGGTATGGAGCTGCCCAGCTCAGCATACACCTGCCACGTGAGCAGGACACGTCAGCAAGACATGTCAGAGAAGCATCACCCTCAGCGATGACGCCAGCGCAGAGGTAGTTGAGAGCGTGCGTTACAGAACGTGTAACCACACACGGCATCTCCATAGGCAACCCCAGAAAATAGCACGTGTTTATAGTGACCTACTCACGCTCGCACCTCACAGCACGAGTAGGCGACGACGCCAGCGCAGAGCCACACAATCAGTGCGGAAATCGGCGCGCCTCCGGAGTCTATGAGTACGACGCCTGGCGTGGCGAATATGCCGCTGCCCACCACCACTCCCAGCACCATGCTGAGAGAAAGGAGGGAGGGAATGGGGAGAGGAGTTGGGGGGGGGGGAGGGGAAGGAAGGAACGAGCAGGAAGCGGAGATGGGCGCGCCTCCAGAGTCTATGAGTACGACGCCTGGCGTGGCGAATATGCCGCTGCCCACCACCACGCCCAGCACCATGCTGCGTGATGGAGAGGGGAATGGGCAGAGGAGGGAGCGATACGCGGAAGGTCTCCTCGGAGGGGCATGGTCACATGACTGACTCCTCCGACGTAGTCGTCACAGCAAGTATAGCGCCACGCACCAGACGCCATCGACGGCAGTCTGCGACCGCGTCCCTCCTCGCGTTTTCCTCGGCGTGCGAAACGAGAACCTAGCAGGGCAGGAGAAGGGGGGAAGGAGGGAAGATTTCTCTCTGTTAATAGTCACGATAAGCACATTTGACACGCACCAGACGAGTTTTGAGACGTCTCACAACGAGATTTCTCTTTGCTAGTCGTCACGATAAGGACACTGACACGCACCAGACGCCATCGACGACATTCAGCGATCGCTTCAACCCTCGCTTTTCCCCGTGCGCGCCGCCGCCTTCTGCGCTCGCCGGCTCCGCGCCGGAGCACTCTTTGCCGCCGGCGCGACAGGCTGTGGGGAGCAGCGGCGCGGCGAGGGAGGTCGCAGTGGCGTCGCACGCCGCGGGAGGGATCAGCACGCAGGAGTGGCTCATGGCGGCCGCAGTGGCGTGGATGTTCCGAGTCGACTAAAAACTTGCGCGGTGAAGAGATATGTCTTTTGAGTTAAGTATGATTAATGAGAGACTCGGCCGTTATATTTTGCGACGAGAAGTGGGCGAGCGAATGAAATGAAGTTACCGCGGCGCGCGAAAGACTCGGAAGAAGCCTTGACGTTATTCACTACAGTGCTTTGGTGGAGAAATCTGACGGGGAGTCGAGGTTTCCAGACGAGAAAGTCAGACGCGTGGGGATCATAGGAGTGAGGCGAGGGTCCAGGTTGGCTTGTCGAGCCAGAGGCCACTAAACTCTCTAATGCAGAGAGCTGGGGAGCAGGAAAAGCATACACACACGAGGAATCAAGTGAACTAGCGACAGAGACGAGAGTTCTTGTGAAATAGGGTGGGGGATTTGGAAGGTGAGGGGGGGAAAGGAGGAGGAGGAGGAGGATGTTGGCTTGGTGGTGGTTGAGGAATTTGTTTTCTCGAGCCGCTTCCAGTCGCAGCTGCCATAGGCGAAGTGAGAAGATCGAATTCGCGAAAAGAGTGGGATGAGGTTTGTGCATCTCCACTTGACCCTTCCACCACCCGCTTAGATAAGAGCGTCCGTGGAATGGTCGGGATGTTTCGAAAACGGAACACGTCTGGTTAGTACTTGGTGTTTATGCTAAACTTAGTCCACTTTTACAGGGTATTTTCTTCAGCCTGGTTGAAGAATTTGTCCACCTAGTGGGAACACAACACGAGTCAAGTGTTAAGAGAAATACCTGAAGTGGTTACACTGGCGACAGCTCGTCAACCAAATTGCAGGCCTGGTGGCGGAATCTGCTCTGCCATTGCCCCGCTGCGAAATGTGTTGAGGTCATTGGCTCGCAAGGTGGGTAAAGAACTGCTGCAGGTCAATCGTGTCGTCAAGTCAGATGTGTGGCCAGATGGAGGCGCCTACACTGGATAATTACACGAACCAGCTGCTCGCTGCGTGATGGGAGAACCAATCAGGATGGGCGATCTCCCAGAGTGTTGCCCAATCCCCTGGCGAGCTGGGCTGACCTGGTTCCAGCGCTTCATCTGCCTTCCAGCAGGGCAAAGCTGCTGCTGTTGCAAGATCTTCGGAGCTGGTAACAAAGAAACACTCGATATTGGCAGCTATATTGAATCTTTCACCATATTCATCCGTAAGTTTGATGTCGCTGTAACGAAAGGGAAGTCTGAGTGGATAATGTGGCTCAAGTCGCACCCTCCAAACCAGGTAGCCGTTAGGCTGGTGTTATTGGCGAATTACTCTCGAACCTCGAGGTTCGTGGTCTAGTTCTGTACCTTGAACTATCTTTTGGTCTGCCTGATTGGGGATGTCAGAGCATCGTCGCAAAAGCCAGTTACCTAACATCCTGGCCTTCTCGTCATGACTCGCATACATCTTTCATCCACTCGTTTACCTCGACTGTTGTCGCACGCTTTCGTCGTCGCGAGGATGAGTTCGCCAAAAGTTCAACCACACCGTCTTCTTCCCCTCGCCACTTTTGCAGGTTCAGTTCAGACCAGGCCAGCAGCCGCGTGGCATAGAATAAATGCTTATTCCATCTTGCTAAGCTGGCTATTTTATGGTGCGAAAGTACCTGTATTCGTGACGAATATTGTCTATTGTATGAGCAGCTGTTACTAGAAATCGTGCATCGTCATGGCGTCAGGCCGGAATCCCCGTGCCGAACCCTCGGAGCATTCAGACGTACGCGTGCCGCTTATTCAACCGCCCGTAAACCCTCTTAGGAATGGCACTTCGACCAATAGCATTGCGCCAATTCCTTCCTGCTTGCCGCGCCTCGCGCCACCGAGGAAAGAAAACGATCCTCCCTCGGCGGATGAGGGTGAGATCGTTGGCCCGCATTCGCCGCGCGCGGGGTTGAAACGGTCGCTTACCGTCGCCGACGGCGTCAGGTGCGACTTGAATAACGTTATTTTTAGTCGACTCAAATATCGATGGCCCGCACTCGACGCGCGTGGGGTGGAAACGGTCGCTTACCGTCGTCGACGGAGTGAGGTGCTATTGCTTGTGTCAATTCTGAGAATTGTCATAGTGATTTGCTGTCGTGATGTTCTGAAAGTTGACTGTCTCACGTGTGATGACCTCACGAGTGTTGCTCCGACGTGTTGAAATCACTTTTGAGAATTCTAAAACGTGATTTCAACATAGATTTGCTGACGTGATGCTCTGAAATCTTACTATCAGACGTGTGTTGACCTGATGTTTGCTGCTCCGACCTGTGGAAGGGGTGCTTCTCTGACGTGCGGTGCGTCGTGCTGCTGATTGTCAGCCGCTTGATCCTCTGACCGACTCGTGTCACAACAGGCCTTTCTTGAGGCTGTGATTCTGTGATTCCCCTCTCTCTCCTACCCTGTTTCTGACCTCCCAAGCAGCATGATGCTGGGAGTGGTGGTGGGCAGCAGCATAGTCGCCACGCCAGGCGTCGGCCTGCTGGGCTCTCAACTCACGCTAGAACACCTCTCTAACCACCACCCATCCCCCCTCTTCTCCCCCCAAGCAGCATGGTGCTGGGAGTGGTGGTGGGCAGCGGCATATTCGCCACGCCAGTCGTTGTCCTGTTGCTGACTGGTGGTGCTTCTCTAACACCCATCCTTCTCTCCTCCCCTGTTTTCGACCTCCCAAGAAGCATGGTGCTGGGAGTGGTGGTGGGCAGCAGCATATTTGCCACGCCAGGTGTCGTCCTGCTGCTGAGCGGTGCTGCTTCTCTAACACCCATCCTTCTCTCCCCTCCCCCCTTGTGTTCTACCTCCCAAGCAGCATGGTGCTGGGAGTGGTGGTGGGCAGCGGCATATTCGCCACGCCAGGTGTCGTCCTGCTGGACTCAAGCGGGTCGCCGCTGCTGGCGCTGCTGCTGTGGCTGCTGGCAGGGATCGTGGGTTATGCGTGCTGTGAGGTAAGCAAGGGGAGGGGGAAGGGGGGAAGGAGGGAGACAAGAATAAGTAAATGTGCCGCTACTGGCGCTGCTGCTGCGGCTGCTGGCAGGGTTGGTGGGGTACGCTTGCTGTGAGGCGAGAAGGGGAGCAGGAAGGCGAGGGGGGAGCGAGACAGGGTCAGTTCAGTAAGGATGGAGAGGGGACGTGGGTTATGCATGCTGCGAGGTGAGGTGAGGAGAGAGGGGTGGAGGTCAGGGTGGGGAGGATGGAAAAGAGGGTTAAGGGTGGGTCGGCTGCATTGTAGAAAGGAACCAGGTATGTCAATGCGGATGATGTTACTTCTGAGAATTCTCACAAGGGATGTCAATGCGGATGGATTGCCGCTGTTGGCGCTGTTGATGTGGGTGCGGTGCGGGGTAGTGGTGTGTGTGTGCTGCGAGGTAGGAAGGAACCAGGGATGTCAATGTGGATGGATTGCCGCTGTTGGCGCTGCTTATGTGGCTGCTGGTGGGGGTCGTGAGATATGCTTTGTCCGAGGTGAGGAGGAGGGGGAAGGGGTGTTGTGGAAGAGAGGGGGAAGGGGTGTTGTGTAAGAGAGGGGGAAAGGGGTAATGGTGGGTGGGTCGCCTGTAAGGTAAGAAGGGATGTGCGGATGGATTGCCGCTTCTGTCACTGCTGCTATAATGCTGGTGGGGTAGCGGTGTGTGGGTGCTGCGAGGCGGGAAGACGGGAGGTGGGGAGGTGGGAGAGTAGCAGAAGAGCCGTTGTTGGACCGTGTGTCAGATTTATATGACTTAACTGCTGTAGGCTATAGTGGGGTAGCACATATGGGGTACAGCTTTCTAGGGTTTGTACTTGTACCCAACTTTCCCTTAGTCTTTTCATTTCCTCGTTCATTCTCACATGGTATAGAGCAGGTTCCCCTGTGGGAACTGTTCCTAGGGCCCACCAACTTTTTTTTCCTGCCCGGAGCGCGCTCAGCCTCTGCCCGAGTCGCGCTCCCCTCTCACGGCCCCGTCGCGCCGCCCTTACGTCCCCGTCGCGCCACCTCAGCGGCCCCGTCGCGTCGCGCCTCCCTAGCGGCCCCGTCGCGTCGCCCTTGCGACCCCGTCGCGCCGCCCTCGCGGTCCCGTCGCGTCGCGCCGCCCTCTCGGCCCTTTCGCGCCGCCCTCGCGGCCCTTTCGCGCCGCCCTCGCGGCCTCCTCGAGCCGCCCTCGCGACCCCTCCACGCCGCCCTCGCGGCCCCGTCGCCTACCCTTGCGGCCCCGGCGCCACCCTTCCCGGCCCCGGCGCCGCCCTTCCCGGCCCCGGCGCCGCCCTTCCCGGCCCCGGCGCCGCCTCTGCTGGCCCCGTCGCCCCACCCTTGCGACCCCGCGGCCCCACCCTTAAGGCGCCGGTCGCCACCCTTCGTGGCCTCGCCGCCGCCCTCAGCGGCCTCGTCGCCGCCCCACCCGGCCCCGCCGCCGTCCCCACGCGGCCCCGCCGTCACCACCGAGCCGCCGGCGCCGCTGAGCCGCCGATCTACCGAGCCGCCGCTGCTGCCGAGCCGCCCGAGCCACCCGAGCCGCCCGAGCCGCCGAGCCACCTGAGCCGCCCGAGCCGCCGAGTCGCCGAGCCGCCGAGCTCCAGTTGCTGCCGAGCCGCCGTGCCGCCGAGCCGCCCGAGCCGCCCGAGCCGCCGAGTCGCCGAGCCGCCGAGCTGCAGTTGCTGCCGAGCCGCCGAGCTGCCGAGCCGCCCGAGCCACCCTGTCCGGTAAGAGCGGCACCTCTACCACTGCGCTGCCCTTACCCTACTGCTCCAGCTGCTAGTCTACTGCTGTCATGGCTACCCCCAGTGTCCTCGCTTTTGACGCTGAGGGTCGGGCCATTGACTTTGACGTCTGGGTAGATGACCTGCAGCTTTTCCTACAGTGCGACAGGGCAGACGGTCTCTCTCTCTTTGACCTCACTTCTGGTGCCTCTTCTGCCCCTGCTGCTGATGCTGACGCCACTGTTCGCTCACAGTGGGCCACACGCGACGCTGCTGCCCGTCTTGCTGTGCGCCGCCACTTGCCTACCGCTGAGCGTGCACACTTTAGTCAGTACAAGAGTGCTAAGACCTTGTACGACGCTGTAGTTGCACGCTACTCTTCCCCTGCCACTGCTGCACTTAGCCGCCTCATCCTGCCGTACCTCTTCCCTGACCTCGCCGCTTTTCCCACAGTCGCTGACCTCATTACGCACCTGCGCACTAGTGACACTCGCTACCGCGCTGCCCTTCCTCCTGAGTTCTGCGCCAAGAACCCCCCCCCTATGTACATCACCCTCTACTACGTAGTCACCCGGCTCCCTGACACCCTTCGCCCGGTCAGGGACCACTTTCTCTCTGTTTGCCCCACCACCCTCACCGTTGATCTCCTCGAGGAGTGCCTCCTAGCAGCAGAGAAGAGCATAGTCGCTGTAGGAGCCTCTCGTGGTGACCCTCGTGCCCCTGTCTTTGAGGGGTGCTCCCCCTCTCCTCTCTTGCCCTCTGTTGCCTCTGCTGCTGCGGCCGACCTCGTTGGTCTTGAGTCGGTCGGTGCGGCGTCTGCCCTTAGCGGGAGACGCCGCACTGGCAAGGGCAAGGGGGGCAGGGGCGCTGGAGGAGCTAGCGGGGGCGGTGGAGGCGGCGGTGGAGGCGGCGGAGGGGGTGGGGGTGGCGGTGGGGGTGGTGGCGGGGGTGGGGGCGTCGGTGGCGGCAGTGGAGGCGGAGGCGGCGGCGGCGGTGGCGGTGGGAGCGGAGGTGGCGGAGGTGGCGGCGGTGGAGGAGGCGGCGGCGGAGGAGGTGGAGCTGGTCGGGGTGGCGCTGCGCAGAGGGTCGGCTCCGGTGGTGGTCAGCGCCAGCAGCAGCAGCAGCAGCGCACTCGTGAGATCCCCCCCCCTCAGCAGCTTCGTGAGTGGTACGCTGCACGCCAGCGGGGTGGGGGTACTGGTCCGTGCACCTACGTCCTACGCACCGGCGACCGCGCGGGTGAGCCGTGCGGAGGTGCGCACTCCACCCAGCGCTGCTTTGGCCGCCTGACGGACGCTTGGCGTCACCAGTTCCCTGAGGCCACTGAGATCCCTCGCTGGGGTGAGCTGTCTAGGGCGGGTGTAGCTATCTTTGACCTTGACTTTGATGCTATTCTTGCTGCCATGTATGCTGTGACTATTAGTGATGAGGGTGACTGTTACTGGTGTTTTCCGCCCGACCCGGGCATTGGGACTGCTGCTCTAGGTACTGGTGAGGCTGCTGCTCTAGGTGCTAGCGAGGCTGCTGCTCTAGGTGCCAGTGCGTCTGCTTCCTCAGGTGCTGGTGAGTCTGCTCTCTCAGGTACTGCGTCGGCTCCGGCCTCCCACACCTTCACTCTTGACTCGGGGGCTTCTCGCTCCTTCTTTCGAGACCGCACCACACTCACGCCGCTTGGTCGGCCAGTTGCAGTCTCTCTGGCAGACCCCTCTGGGGGTCCTGTCCTTGCTCACTTCTCCACTGTCCTCCCGTGTCCGGCGGCCCCCTCTGGCACCCTGTCTGGTCTTTACCTCCCCTCGTTCTCTACGAACTTGGTGAGTGGTGCTGACCTACAGGATGCGGGGGTTCACCAGTTCACTCCTGCGAGCCAGCGTGTGACCCTCTGCACGGACGCTCGGACGGGCCGACACTTGGCCACGTTTACACGTCGGCCGGGGTCGAGCCTGTACACACTGACCACTGAGTCTCCTCCAGTCACTGCGTCTGGTCAGGCAGCTGCGTCGGGTCAGGTGTTTGCTGCAGCGTCGAGGTCTGGTCCTGAGTCTGCCCCCTGCTCGTGTCGCCTCCTGTCTCACGAGACTCTCCTCTGGCACCACCGCCTTGGTCACCCCTCCCTGCCTCGTCTCCGAGGCATGGCCTCCCGTGTCCTTGTCTCTGGTCTTCCCCGCTCCCTCCCTCCCCTTCCTCCGGGGCCTGCCCCTACCTGCGTCCCCTGTGTCGAGGGGCGGCAGCGTGCTGCCCCTCACTCCTCCCAGTTTCCTCCGACAGAGGCCCCGCTGCAGACGCTTCACATGGACGTGTGGGGCCCGGCCCGCGTCCGTGGACAGGGTCACGAGCGCTACTTCCTGCTGGTGGTTGACGACTACTCGCGTTACACCACAGTCTTCCCCTTGCGCAGCAAGGGTGATGTCACTGAGGTGTTGATCGACTGGATCCGCGCAGCTCGTCTCCAGCTCAGAGAGAGTTTCGGCTCGGACTTTCCTGTTCTGCGTCTGCACTCTGACAGAGGCGGAGAGTTCTCCTCTGGCCTTCAGCGAGCCTACTGTCGTGCACGAGGCATCCGCCAGACCTTCACGCTTCCGGACTCTCCACAGCAAAATGGGATTGCTGAGCACCGCATTGGCATGGTCATGGACGTCGCCCGTACGTCCATGATGCATGCGGCTGCCCCCCATTTTCTGTGGCCGTTTGCGGTTCGGTACGCGGCGCATCAGATCAACCTTCAGCCCAGGGTCTCCATGCCGGAGACCTCCCCAGCTTTGCTGTGGACGGGGAAGGTTGGCGATGCGTCCACGTTCCGTGTCTGGGGATCTCAGGCGTTTGTCCGCGACTTGTCTGCGGACAAGCTGTCCCCTCGTGCTGCTCCTTGCGTCTTCCTTGGCTTCCCCCCTGACGCGCCAGGGTGGCAGTTCTACCACCCCACCTCTTGCCGTGTCTTGTCCTCCCAGGACGTCACGTTTGACGAGTCGGTCCCCTACTACCGTCTCTTCCCCTACCGCACTCCGTCCCTCCCCCCGCCTCCGCTCTTCCTTGTGCCAGGTCCCCCCCCGGTAGACCCCCTTCCCCCTCAGGGTCCTGCCCCTTCAGGTGTGTCCCAGGTAGACGCAGTCGAGCCTGTGGAGGTCGCTGGTGACTCTGGTGCTGCTGGGGGTGCTGAGCCTGGGGGTGCTAACTCTGGGGGTGCTGAGCGTGTGGGTGCTACGCCTGGGGGTGCTGAGCCTGGGGGTGCTGAGCCTGAGGGTGCTACGACTGGGGGTGCTGAGCCTGGGGGTG